GGAAATATGGCAAGCACATCTACACAGAAATGAGCAATGGGAAAGCTTACATGCACTACTAATAGAGAAACTATGGTAAGCACATTCACACAGGAATGAGCAATGGGAAGGCTTACATGCACTACTAATAGAGAAACTATGGCAAGCACATCCACACAGGAATGAGCAATGGGAAGGCTTACATTGCACTACTAATAGACGAAATATGGTAAGCACATCTACACAGGAATGAGCAATGGGAAGGCTTACATTGCACTGATGAATAACAAAATAAAAAACATTCCAATCTATTGAATAACCACTGAACATCTAGTCAGCATTATACAAGTACTAAATTGAGTTAAAAAATGGAGAGTGTTAAAATATTCTTTTAAAGTAAAAAATTATCAAATCTTTTCAGAACATCATGTTTTTTATGATTTTATGGGAGTTTGTATTAGAGTATAATACATTTCTTACATATTGTAGATATCCGGTTTGTTCAAGTAGTAGAACTGTTAGTCAGTATGCGTTATTTGCTGTATTAGAAGCCTAGGTCAGTTTAACTGGGTCACTGTAAGTTTGGTGTACTTGAAAAACATTTTGTTGGCTGACATGTACTGATACTGTATCTGTGTCGTGATGAATTCGCTTAGCAATTGACATTTCTGGAATCCTATGGTAACCTGTTTTACCTATGATATGACTACATTCATATATATAAGTAGACTGTCATGCTGATGTGAATAAACAACAGCTGTTGCCGACTCGCTTGTTAGCGTTGTTATGGCTGAATTGGGAACACCAGCTGTCAGCAACTTTGCCATAGTAGTGCGATGAAGCATACTGTGTACACATGTGGGGATAATACGAACCAGATCTCGGCTAGTGAGACCTTATATTTATTTTCACTGCCAATATTAAAAATATTTTTGAATCATTACCATTCAATAGTAATCAGCTACTATATCCAATCTCCATGATGTTTGAGATTTAATATCCTTACAAATTTTCAGTAAATACCAGTTAACTAATGTTTAAGGCTCAATATTGTCATTGTTTTGGAGGTTTTGAATTTTTGGAATTTGCACCAACAGAGCAAGAACTTTCATTTCAACACATTGGCAAAAACATTTTCTCCAATGAAAACATCGTGTTGAGAGTCAACCTATCTGGTTCATTTCTTACTGAGATTGAAAAAACAACAACACACTTCACTGATTGGTTATATTTTTGAGAATGTATATATCTCCTTCAAACTGATGGAGAGTGGAACTTCCTCTCATACACTACTCCCACACATGCTCTCCATAATGTTATATTGATGAGTTTGACATGGGGAAAAAAAAACAAAACCTAACTTGAACGTTGCAATCTGTTGCATATGACATTTGACTTAGTTCAATTCAAAAAATGAATATTAATGTCATTGAAGTTATTATTATTATGATATTTGGCTTAATTAATTTGTTAATTTTGTAATAACTTGACTGATAATTAGTTACATTCTGTCCAGTGTATGACAAAATTTCACCTATTTTTACTGATGATATGTTCATCTTGACTATCACTATAATAATCTTTGTGTTTCAGATTAAGGCAGACTTGGAATCAGAACTCGGTTTAAGCAAGACTCAGTTAGGATGGTTGGATACGTCATTACTCTTACCGTATGCAGCTATACAGGTATAATGCTTGAACATTTTTAATTTTATGAAACTTCTGAGAACTTTGTTTATTAAGTTTTTTTTTAGTTTGCTTAAATAAATAACAGAGGTTTGTCTATGTGCATATAAGAAGTCATATTTTAATGTTCCAGTAAACAATACATTCAACTGTTAGGATTACATGTACTTCTATTAGAAATACACTTCTATAAAGCAAATATTGTATTGGCATTCATTTTTTGGAACAATGAATAATTAAACAGACAACATTTTGTGAAGGTAGAAAATCGATCAAGGTAAATTATCATCAAAACATTTTGTAATGTCAGCTTTGTACATTACATTGGTCACACTGGTATATCCAAAACACAATCAACGTGTGGAGTTATTTTCTTAGAGATCAATTAAGCACTTTCCAACGTTATTAACGTTTTTTAGTCCCCATTTGGATTATTCTCTGTGTATGCATCTGTCCAAAGCTATATCTCAGACACACCTTGACAGATTCTCATCAAGTTTGATACATACTGTATGCAAGTGCGATGATTTTAAGGTTGTGTCAAGAATGGCCGACTGGTGGTCATTTTTGTTGTGAAAACACACTAAAATCAGGTATTCTGACATGTCCTGAACCAGTTTCTAAGCAAGTGTAGGCTGTTCTACTTCAAACTTGGTGGAAGGATTGACCATTAAAAGTAGTTGATGCACATCCCTCGGACGCATGCCTTCGATTTTGTAAATTCAACCCAAGATGGCCGACTAGCATTGTATATACTTTGAGCAATTTTGACATGTCCACCGGATCTTGGGTGTTGATTGATTCAAACTTGTTGAATGGAATAATCATAACTGGATGTTGATGCACATCACTTTGGTTTATCAAGATGGCTGACTCAATCCATTCGTCAGATGACTCAGTAGCCTGACATGTGTGAGTTGCACCTTCGCCGGCCGAACAGCATCAGACCTCACTAACACCTGACAGAATAGTGTAAGTCTCGTCGACAAGATCAATACTGCGAATTCGCAAATGTCTAGCCTTTTGTAATTAGTTTCAATGAATATTCATTTTGGTGGTCATAGTTACACAAAGTTGTGTTTGCATTGTCAGCAATAATCACAGACTATTTGCAACAAGATGATAAACATTGGGCGGAAATTTGCCAGCATCTTATCACACATTATGCCAACAAACAAATAAACTCTGCCATGAATGGTTACTCTTTGATGGCCGTCACTATCCGACATTCCTGCAATTTGATTGGTATGGACAAAAAAAATCGCCGGGGGAAGTGAAAAACTACATCGTTATGTCAGGCGTGTGTTGGGTTTGGAGCACCTCTGAGAGCGCAACTCATGTGACTCAAGCTAGTCACACAAGTACTGTAACATCATATGCTTTTTGCATATGCAAAATTGTTGAAGCAATAAAACTGTTCACTCTGCGCAGGACGATGAGATAAATTATCCTCACATGTGTGAAGTTTTGAGGTGGAACACAAATAATATATGTACTTTGTTCATTTTATGATTGAGACACAATGATTATGAATGAGAACTTTTATACTTCCTAATTTGTGCTTTGCATGTTGACATGTGTTTTCTTACTACGAATATGATATCATTCATTGTCACATGCACAATATGTATATCCGCAGTGAGAAATTCCCTGAGAGATATAAGTTTTCATTCAGCTGTTATATGATCTTCATCATGCACTGAAACTACTTTTTTCACTCACTTTATAACAAACAACAGAATTCTACATGGATACCATGAAACAATATATTTTCACTGGCATTTAAAAATTTCACTATTTTGAGAAACAATGAGTTCTATTGTTATTTAACATGAAATTAAAAATAATTAATGCATTTACAGTATGCTTATGGTCTTTAACATTCAGTACACAATGAGGATAGTACAAAAAGCTTGCAAAGTCGTATAATCAAGTCAACAAAATTTTGTGACTCTGCAATATACAGATGACTAGAAAATAAATTACATGTATTTACATGATATGAAATTTCTTACAAATAAAAGAACTCATTTTATCCTCAATTTTGATAGACAGCTGATTAAGTTGACTGTCATAAATTAAAACCACTGCTGTAGTACAAAAAATGTTATTAGTTTGATGAATGGTGCATGCGAAAAACAAGCTGAGTTTTTTATGCGGTTTTGTCTTTATTGTGTTTATCTCCAAATTATCTAAGCAAAAATGTGTCAGTGTATCAGTCCACTGTCTGTTTTCATAAATATTTCCAGGAGATTTGGTATATGAGTGCAATATTCCACATGTGCATATGAATGACCTAATTTGCATGATATAGAGCCAATTTTTAGCACTTGTGGATGAAATTTATAGACTTGATACCGGGCACAACATGGTAGTATGTGTAATCTGATTGTTTTGGTGAAAACTTGTGCTAGTTTGCATTATAATTGTTAGCCAGTTTTGTATTTTAAATGAAGGTATACAATCTTTATATATGACTTTTTTTGCAATGAGTTAATTTTTAAGTACATTCTTGGACTTGACTTGGCCAATTTTAAGCTTGATATGATGACATAAGGTAGGTGAGCTGTATTTTATTTTTTGTGTGTGAACGAGTGGATCCAATATACATGTGTTGAATGTGTTCATATTTCTCTCCCAAAAATTGAGTACACCACACCCACTGCTGCTAGTGTGAACTGTTATAGTTTCCTTCAAAAGATAATAACCATTCAAATACTCATTTTTCCCACTTGAATTTAGTTATTATATCCAAGGCCACATAGTAATTAGTGAGTCATTATTATGACATACAAAGACACTAAATAATTGGTGAGGCCTATCTCATTTACAATGACTTGTTTGACAGTTATTTTTAGGATCATTTGGTGATAGGTTTGGTGCCAGGAAAGTTTTATCGAGCTGTTTAATAATATCAAGTATTTCTATGGTAAGTACACATCTCATTTGATCTCTAGAGTAATTGTAGGGAAATGCTGGCTTGTTGTTTGTATACAATATTTTGTGGACAATGGTTGCTTTATATATACCGATAGCTTTATTGGTTTACACAAATAAGAAGGAATAGTTTTCAATTAAATTAAAAATTAAACTTTTTCATAACAGTCTAAACAGACTTTCTCACCCTAATTTGTTTGCATTTTTTCTTATATTCTTCAATATTTCTGAAAATGAACCCTAATTTTGGAGCCAACTGACAAAATTTGAGTCATTTATCAGTTTTTGCTCCAAAAATTTGGTTATTTTTGTCCCAATCTAATGAGGGAAAGTGCAGACTATACATGGGACTATTTTGTGAGTTTGGTAATGGTGGTAAAAAGGTTAAGGGAGGTGATTGACAAGACACATCATGTTTGATATTGTTCCTAAACAACACACAAAGTATGTAAAATACAATGCAGTGTGACACCCTCTAGCTGCCTTTGCATATGAAATGTAACATAACAGGACCACTGTTACTGTTATTTCTGCTATTTTCGCTGAAGGGATGATTTAGTGAAAAATTTAATCCAGCATACATACCTTTCTTTATGTATATATAACTTTTGTAAGTATATACCTTTTGTATAATATATTCATCTCAACAAAAATCAGTGAAAATAAATTCCATACAGAACACTCAAACAGTCTTTTCAGTGAAAATTAACTACAGCAAAAATAAATTACAGTAATTGTCACATCGCCATAAGCATTTATAGAGCCAATTTCTGTATCACAATTTGGTTGTTAATTTCCGTGATGAACCCAAATTAAATTAACATGTTTTATGGTATATATTGTGATGATTTTTGTGTGACATTTTAATTTTTAGGTCACTTTTGGGATGTGGTCAAGTTATCCTGTGTTTGCTTTTTTATTATTTTGCAATGGAGCAGCTCAGGTGAGTGAATTATCCTTAATTGTAATCTTGCCTTACATGTATAGGATTTGTATTAACAGTTCTATTGAATGAAAATTTTCTTCTGTGGAGCTTACAGTGTACCATAATATTGTACATCTTTTCTATAGGACAAGTGCATTTCTGTATGGTGGGCAGTATACCATAATTGTATCTTATTGGATTAACATTTATCTGTTCTATAAAACATATGTACTCTGTAGAGTCTGCAGTTTATCAAAATATTGCCTATGGGATTACTACTGTCACATGTAACATTGAAACACCAATGCAGCATGTTAGTAAGCACATTTGCTACTCAGTTAGCAATGACAAGCCAAGCTTCAGACAAGTAGTTCTGATGAGGTTGAGTACATCTATATATGGATGGATTTCATTCAAACTTGGTACACACATTAGACTGGTCCTTGATGCACATCATTTTGTTTTTCAGATCTGATTCAAAATGGCTGACTGGCGGCCATTTTATTTTAATGCAGTTCTAGAGCCATGCCTCTGACATGCTTTGACTGATTATGTTCAAATTTTGTTCAATCATTATACAACAGAGATATACAGATGTATTCAAAATGTCCAACTGGTAGCCATTTTGTTTTAATTATTGCTGTTCCAGAGCAATATCTCAATATGGACAAGTACTCGTTTGATGATCAGATACAAGATGACTTGACGATCATTTAGCATCAGCTTCTATATTACTATAAACAAAACTACTTAAAATTTAATGACTAACAGGGAATGTGCCTTGCATGGCTTGTTATAAACAATTTTCAAAAGTCTGTACATAGTTTACACCTTACAATAATGGTATCTTCCACGTTGCATGTAATAGAAAAAGTCATGTATTGGTATTCCAATTTTTAAAAGCAGGTGCAGGATGCTTGTATGAAAGAAACATTGCTAGCTTACTAGCACATTTGATGACTAATATGCTGCATTGGTATTCAAATGCTATGTGCAGCTGTAAAAAAAGAACTGGGAGCTCTTGATAATTTTAGAAAACAACTAACTTGAGATATTAAATGTGTTATTCATTTGATATGACTGTAGTATAATATAGTAATATATAAAACTCATAGCCTGGCATTTGCATTTACCACAATCCAGTCTGTTGGCTAATCCAAATGTGGTACTGAAATTGACATCTACATGATAGTACTGTTGTGATAATTCTCTGTTAATTCTTACAGTCCCAGATTTGGCCAAGCTGTATCAAGGGATTGGGCGAGTGGTTTAGTGGGCAACAATTGAATACCATTCTTGGTACATGGGGCACATGTGTCTTTGCTGGTGGAGTTATGGGCACATCATTAGCAGTAAGTACAATATACCATACTTAGTGCATGGGACACATGTGTCTTTGCTGGTGGAGTTATGGGCACATCATTAGCAGTAAGTACAATATACCATACTTAGTGCATGGGACACATGTGTCTTTGCTGGTGGAGTTATGGGCACATCATTAGCAGTAAGTACAATATACCATACTTAGTGCATGGGACACATGTGTCTTTGCTGGTGGAGTTATGGGCACATCATTAGCAGTAAGTACAATATACCATACTTAGTGCATGGGACACATGTGTCTTTGCTGGTGGAGTTATGGGCACATCATTAGCAGTAAGTACAATATACCATACTTGGTGCATGGGACACATGTGTCTTTGCTGGTGGAGTTATGGGCACATCATTAGCAGTAAGTACAATATACCATACTTGGTGCATGGGACACATGTGTCTTTGCTGGTGGAGTTATGGGCACATCATTAGCAGTAAGTACAATATACCATACTTGGTGCATGGGACACATGTGTCTTTGCTGGTGGAGTTATGGGCACATCATTAGCAGTAAGTACAATATACCATACATTGTGGTATTACATTATACATACATGAAAGTTCTTCATTATGCTTGATTAATTGTGCATGTCTGAGCTCTCACACTATCTCACTTGAAATCTATTTTAGTTCGAGTTAAAAAATGTTTGTGATTCCAATAACCTTTCTGTAGATTTTATTGCAAAACCTAAATTTGTTTTGACTAATCATGAAAAAGTGATGTGAAATCACTCAAAAAGGATTTTAAATAAATTGAGAAAATGTTGTATTGACTAACCATCAAGCTAGCACAGAGGTTTTATGATGAAAGAATTTTTTTTTCATTTGACATACCTTACCAATTTATTTAATATTCTCAGAATGACACAATTTATTTTTGTCTAATATAGCCCTGTAGGGAGTTCATAATTGATATAATAAAGCATTGTAATGATATACCACAATAAACTAATATGGAAAATGTGATATTATTAAATATAAATAACTCAAATAAGTAAAATCTCTATATTTTATGTTGCAGGTTTATTTACAGAGTATGTATGGATGGAGAAGCACATTTCTTTTACCCTCTTTCATAGTGGTAAGCTTCTTTATTATACATGGAACTTTCTAATGATGCAGTCGCTTTGATCTTGGAGGGCAGACATAGTCCTTTATTTTTTTAGTATAATACTGCAAAGGTGAAACTATTATATAGTTGTCACCTCTTGTTTAGTTTATGGTTGCTATCTCTGCATATTTAATTACCTAATTTGCATATAAATTAGCTATTTTCAATCATTTTTTCATTTCTCAAGAACCATCAAACGTACTTTAATGACGTTTAGCACATAGATGCTCTGCGATTATATGGAGACCTTATTAGTTTTTGGTTGCAATATGCGGATATTAGTTATCTCATTTGCATATTAATTAGCCAATTTCACTTGTTTCCAAGAACCAAGCAATAAATTTCAATGACATTTGGTACATAGATTCCCTGGGATAATCCACAGATATGATTATTTTAGGTTGCAATCTGTAGATAATATTTATCTAATTTGCATGAATTTGCATAATGTGAAAGAGGTAAAACCTATGTTTGCACTGTATACTGATTGGGAATCAGTCTATGTTTACCTTCTCTACAGATATATCAATAACCACTTATCAGATTTGATTAGACTTGATAAATAGGTGCTTTAGTATATGTTTGAAACTGCATGTTAATTACTCTATTACATAAATGATCCTAATTACATAATTTAGGCATTTTTAAGTTGTTCCACTGATATATCAAGTACCTTCCCATTTCAATGGTTCTTTGAGATGATGGAATTAAGTTTAGAGGTGAAATATATGTACGTTGATTACCCAAATTTGCATAAATTGACAGATTTTTGATATATCAAAAAACATTTATCAGATTTAAATTAACTTGCTTCCAGAAATTTATTCTTTTGCTTTAATATTCATATAAACTTAGGGTCAAATTGCAGAAGTATATAATTCACCTTGCTTCTTTGAATTTGAAGTTTTGAAACAATTTTAAATGCACCCTATTACTGATTCATGTACCTCTGAATGCTCTCAACAAACAGAGTTTTTTCTATGCTTTAATTCTTTCATTAAATGTTCTTTCAAATTGTGAGACTGCTTATTGTCTCTGAGCCATCACTGCATCTTTTCTATGTTATTAATTTTTTACTTGGTGTAACTTGAGCTATCAAAGCAGAGTAATTAAACAAAAAACATGATGATTTGTGGATGGAGAAAACTAATTAAAATGAAATGAATCACCTTTAAAACCTTTTATCAGTCGAAAATAATGGTTTTCACTGCTCAGCAATTGAAATGTACAGTCTCAGAGTAATCCATGAACTTGACATGAGTGCATATGTATGTGTTTTGTTTATTGTATGCTTTCAGTGAATGCAGCTACTAGTAGGCTAGTTCATGATTAAAACAAAATGAGCATGAAGCTAACCATCAGTGGTGCTCACAATTTACAAATTGCATGTTGAAAAAGACAGTTTTGAGTCTGGATTTAAAGGGTAGTGTTTGTCGTACCGGGCATGTGCAATATTTGTGCTGATAAACATTGATTTTCCCACAAGCCAATGCACTCTTCTAATGAAATCATGAGTACGAGTCCTGACCTGGGTGCGACTTGCACTAATTACTGCCAGTGACTCCTTCGATATCTTCCAATCCCCTAAAGAATTAAATTAAAGAATTAAAGCTTAGAAATGTCTCAATTTGTACTCGTTTGTCTACGCAACAGTCAAAGTCGCCATCTTTGTTCATATGAGACCCATATCTCATGCATGCATGGTACAATGACCACCTCAAATTAAAGATGTTCACATTGAGACCTGGACGTTTGATAGTTTATTCTAAAGAGTATAAGTTGGTTGTTCATATGAGTGATCTTCCTAAGATGTAAATCTGGATGTACATATAGCAATTAAGTGTTTGTTGCTAGAAATACAGATTTCTTAGAATTTCTTTGTAGGATGAAGCCCTTTATTATGAGCATGTGAATAACAGAATTTTAAATTAATCTATAAGTAATAGGAAGCCAGTGTAGGTTTAATAGAGAGGACATTGCAATTCTTTTGTGAAAGATTGTGTTGTGCAGTGAGCAAGCCATATAAAAGAGAATTACAGTTATGCATTTTAGCATCAAGAGTTGAATTAATCAAAGATGATGGAAGTAAATTTGTATTCAAAATCATTGCAGAACTGAAGTATACTGTGAATATAATAGCAAGGTTTCATACAGCTATTACTGTGTTAAGTGTACAATTAATGACAGGATTTGGACAGGATTATTTTTTTGCATTACAGATATTTCTTGGGATCTTAGTGTCTTTGTTGCTCAAGAAACCAAATAAATCACACATCGAAGTAGATACAGGTAATGATTGGTGTAACAAAAGGTCACTGACTGCATAACTGTGATATTAAAATCATTATAATGTATGTAGTAGTGTAGACATTGACATTAAATGGTGAGGGTTATTTTTAAAAGTTCTGTTGTTGCGTTGATTTACAATTTGAGAAAGGTTGACATTCTCACGATATTTGAAACGATATTCTTTTGCTTTGTGTGCACAAATATGATTAGATTACTCAAATTGTATGACTTTCTACAATACTATACACAAAATGCTGAAGCTAGAACTCAATGTTAATAACAAGATATTCTTGAGGAAAAGACCCCCTTCCTTACCTCTGCTTGTGAGATCAACACTGTAGCCAGAGTTTTCTGTTGATTTTCGTTGGTAACTTTTTCTTTTTCAGTAAATATTTCAGAATCCACTTCTACACAACAACAATTAACATTTTGGCAAATATGGAAAGTTCCGTGAGTACAACTAAAGTGATTATAAATCTATTAATTAAGCTATTTAGTTACACCACTAAAATCATCTCGGTCATCAAGCAGTGCACATTTATAATCCCATGCGTGGGTCCCATATCTAACACAACGTGGTGTGACCACCTTGACGTTAAATGGATGATATTGGATAACCATACAACACTAAAAACAGAATATTAATTAGAATTTTCTAGTCTAAAATTATGAAAAGACTTGCAAAACTAACAATAGAAAATCGTGGAAAATATTTAGTCTCTGGAAAACAAAATTTAATTCCAAGTTTTGCCATGGGGATTTACATGTTTTCACTACTTAACATAACATTGAATTGGTTATAGAATCAATCCTGTTTATAGTGACCACCCAGAGGACATCATTAAAATGGTTATTATAGACAATTGGCCTTGTAGGAAAGTTGGATTATTTTGTATGGATCACCAGTTCATAAATTTGACATTATGCTAATTATTTTTTTTGGCTCTAAGCCAATGAAAATCTGCAAAAAAGGTGGTCACATAAGACAGGCTGCTTGTACATTATACCTTGGGACTGCCCAATAGTGGTCACTATAGGCAGATGGTCTTTATATAGGGGTGTTTGCTAATACATGTTTGACTGTAACAATATTTTTGCTTTCTTAATAAATATTTGGTGGAAATATGCAAGAAATATGTGTTACAAAATAAACATTCCAACAGCAAATTAAATTCGAAAATCACTTGCATACCAATTGGAACCAGACCACTAATCAACTTCCTGTTTCCTTTTTGTATTATGAACTGCATGTATGTACTCAGATCCGATGTACTTGTGCATATTAAACAGGGCCATTAACAATCCTCAGTAACTGAAAGCTTTGAATTTGTAGTTGTTAATTTTGTATCTATCAGTAAAATCTTGTAATTTTGACAAATGTTATACTATTACCAGTTTTGTGTCATTTGGAAAGGAATGAAACATACAATATTTAAACATTTCTGGATGCAAAGATCGAGATTTGTTTCATAGCTGAATACTTATTAACAATCTTACAGTAAAAATCTAGTAGACTTGGCATAGGCAATCATTACGCCTAAGTAAAATGTCATTCATTGTCATACACTCACACACTACTTATTGTCGTTTCTTGCAGAATGTTGGCAGAGATTTCAATAACTATGTTTTGTGTTAAGATTGTCCGATATTGTATGTACATGTGGTTACCAATGTACCTTCACCAATTTGTGAGTATGTTGTATTAACTCAAATCTGTATCGATTGTGAACATTACTTATTTATTTTTTGTTGTTTGCTTATTTTTTTGTGTTTTGTTTCAAAGCTTGGATATGGAAAATCTGAAGCTGGAATGTTGTCCACAACATTTGAAATTGGTGGTGTAGCTGGTAGTATTGTTTTAGGATACACTGTAGACAGGTAAAAACACAACACAACTTTTTTTGTCACCTGTCCTGTATAACAATAGTCCTGAATAAATGTTTTGAATAATATACATAATGTGTACGACAGATAACATTTATAACAATAGACCTATTCTATTGTGTGAATAACATTATTTGTATGACGAACAACATTTATAACAATAGTCCTATTCTATTGTGTGAATAACATTATTTGTATGGCGAACAACATTTATAACAATAGACCTATTCTATTGTGTGAATAACATTATTTGTATGACGAACAACATTTATAACAATAGTCCTATTCTATGGTGTGAATAACATTTGAATGACAGATAGCATTTATAAGTCTTATTGTGTGAATAACATTATTTGTATGACAGATAACATATATAATAGTCCTATTGTGTGAATAACATTTGTATGACGAACAACATTTACAACAATAGTCTATTCTATTGTGTGAATAACATTATTTGTATGACAGATAACATTTATAATAGTCCTATTGTCTGAATAACATTATTTGTATAAAAGATAACATTTATAAAAATAGCATTATATCCTGTATTTGTAAGACCTAACTAGGATAACGATGGTACTATTGCATAAGAACAATTGTTGTAATACTTTTTGTTATCATCTCAGGTGGTTTGCTGGTAAAACTATATTGGGTGTTATGGTAGCTATTATTCTAAGTGCAATTGGATTTATATTATTTTTATTGACAAGTGACTATGGCTGGATGTTTCAAGTCACATGCCTGTTGTTATGTGGTATGTGTAACTGTGGACCGGATGCTATCTTGTCTGGTACTTTACCACTGGAAATAGCAATGGGACGAAATATACAATCATCATTGTCAGGCTTTATAAATGGTAGGAAATTTGTTTCAAAGTTGTAATTATATTTATATTGAATCAAGGTCACGTTGTTTTAGTCTTGGATGCTCCCTTTCAGATGCGGCTTGAAGACGGGACTTGTGTTATGAGTCCATCTTTCTGCCCATTTGTCTGACATCCTTTAAACTTGGCAGCAGTAAGTAATAATGGTTTACAAATAAGATGGTTGTTGTTTTTGCTGAAATTTGGTCATCAGTTCATTTGAGTTTCCAAAATAGACACAAAAGTTAATGTAATTATTTTTTGGGA